TCACGGATGTGAAATAGTATTTGAATTTTAAATTTTTTTTTATAAATCGGAATGATATGAAGTTTGGAACATGTGTTCATAGAAAATAGATGAATCTACGAAAAATATTAAAAAAACATATTTTGCATGAAAACAATCAACCAAAATACCTCCGAAACTTTGTGGGGGTATTTTGGTCAATTTTTTCATGATTCACCTATTTTTGATGAACATACGCTCCAAATTTCAAGTCATTCCAATTTGTAAAAAAAAATTAAAATTAAAATTCTATTGGGTACTACTGGGCATCTGTGATCGTTAGATCGGCCCAAAATCAATTTGAGACTTTGTTGCATTTAGCTTATCGAAACTAGGTTGCGTACCATATCTTTTTCCACATATATATATATATATATATATATAGGAAAAGTTTATAAAGAGCCGAGGCTCTAAACAATTAAATTTGAGCCTACCTAAAAACTTTCACTAGAAGAGGTTATTTTGATGTCCAAATATCTTCAAATTGATCATCTCGACATCAAGATGCATGGACATGAGATAAAAAATGGATCGCAAGTTTTGAAAATAGTGCATTTTATAACGCATTTTTTGACAGTCAATTTTTAAGATTTTCAAGTTTTCATAGATATGTCGATCTTCACAATTTTGAAGCTTTAAATAAATAAATACGAAAATATATTTTAAAGCTACCACAAAGATTTCCAATATTGAAATCACATTTCTCGACACTATTTGAAGATAGGCTCTAATTTGATGGTTTAGAGCCTAGGCTCTATACAAACCCGCACCGATATATATATATATTTATATATATAAAAGTCCCAACGAACACCGAAGGTCACAAAAATGATAAAAAAATATTAAATAAACAAAAATAAATAAAAATTCCAAGCGAGTAGAGTCAGTGGTAATCTTTTCAGGAGAGAGAGATAGAGCATCCAGCGAAGCCACGGCTTTATTAGGGCCACAGCACCTGTCTATAAAGTATAAACACCATATTTTATGGCTGCCCTGCAAAAGAGAAGAGTGGAATGTCTTTCCAGGCGATAGGAAATTTCTTTCCTTGTTTCTTCCACTATGCGGCCTCAAGAAATCACGTCCTCCTTCGACTCCTCCAATTCCTCTTCCCCAACTCCTCACCTGCTATTCCATCGATCCATCTCAAGGTGCTCTCTCTCTCTCTCTCTAACTAGTTATTTCTTTTCTCTCTCTAAGTATTGACCCTAGATATATATTTACAGGCATTCGGAAGAGAGATAGTGCATGTCAAATGGCCTTTAGTCGCCATCGTCTCGTCCATGACTGGCACACTCTGCTTCATCGCCGGAAAACAAAGCTTCAGTCATCCAAAGAAAGGTTCATTTCTCATGGCCAACGCTCTCCTATGGTACTGTCTCATGTGTTTGGGAGGCTTCTTCCACCATAGTTTCTTCAACAAGCGCAACATCTTCTATTGCTTTGATGTTTTCGGAACTTGTTGCTCCTCTGTGTCGTTAATTGCCGCAATTTTGGGTGTCGATGATCGGATTTCATCAAATCGCCGGAATTTCATTGTGTTTTACGCGATGGCGACTATCTTTGTAATTTTTGGGCCACAGTGGGCTAGAGAAGCTCTCTATCTCCTGCCCACTACAGTTGCTTTGTGTGTGGGGTCCTGGTATTTGGCCGTGGTGATTGAAGCCTTGAGGCTAGATGATGATAGGAGAAAGAAGAGAGAGAAAGTGGGTGATGGTGAAAAGAACACGAAGGAGATGAAGAGAGAGGAAAAGTTGATCGATGATTTGAAAAAGTGGGTTTTGATAATGGGGTTTGGTGGAGTGATTAGCGTGGTGGGGTTGGTATTTAACAGATGGATAATGGGGTTTATGGGTCCTCATGCGGGTGTTCTCTTGTGGTTCTTTGTGGGGTGTGGCATTGCTCTCTTGGGCTCATCCCGTGTTTTCCACATTCTTAACAACGCGGATTTTGCGTTGTTTTGTTTTGATGTTCTTGATTAAGGCAGGCTACATCAATCAATTCAATGGTAACGGCGCCTTCTTAGTTTTGGAAAATGTTTATATGCTCTTCCTACAGTGTGAAGATCTGTGCTTCCTCTACTATCCAGCTTTCCAATTTTGATAAAGAGAGTCACTCACCGCTTGATCTTAGATCCGATGTATGAAAATATTTTATTTTTAGTTTTTTATATGCAAATGGTATGAATATGAACTTTGGTACGTGCCATCTTAGATCCAACATATGAAAGTACTTTATTTTTAGTTTTTTATATACAAATGGTATGAATATGAACTTTGGTACGTGGCGCACCTATAAAAAATATAAAAAATAATTTTTTGATAAAATATAATGACCAAAATACCCCTTGAAGCTTTCAAGGGTATTTTGGTCATTTTATTTTATTGAAAATATATATTTTTATATTTTTCGTTAGTGCAAGGTTAATAGTGGATTGGACATCCAAAATTTGGTGTCAAAATAGTTTATAAAAAAAAAACTTAAAAATAAAATTAGAGATGTGACATTATGATTGGGGCAATCTTAGCCCTCAATTCAGAATGGAGGGTTGGATAAGGGGAAGTATATAAGTTTTATGTTGTAGGGGAATCATAGAAAGCGTGCCCAAGAGTTTTACTAGTGATGCTTTCGATCCTGATTGGAATCAGTTAGGGCTGATACAATTGATTAGTTAGGGCTGAACCAATTTTTTTGATCCGGATTGGAATCAGTTAGGGTTGATCCAATTAATTAGTTACGGCTGAACCAATTTTTGGGATGTTACGAGGTCTGGTTACTCCTAAATCCCCTTATTCTTTTATTTAATATTTGTTTAGATCCCCTCTGTATTCATCTTATAAACCCTTATTTTAATTTATTTATTTTTAATATTTTTTATATCCTTAATTCAAACTAATCTAGAGACAATACATATTCGTTGATCTAGTGATCTTACACTATCCGAGCCACCAATCGGGGTTTTGAAATACTAGATTGGAAATCAAAATAGAATTCATGCCAAAGTCTGAAAATATTAGTGTTTACCAAGTTAACGCTAAAAAATACAAACAATAAAGATAAAAATGAAAATAAACGATTCTCCTTATTTAAATAAGGATAAGTTTATATAAGGTTGTAACCATAAAATGTAGAATTAAGATGCACCTCAAAAATTCATCATAAAAGGTTGTTTTGATGTTGGAAAACCCACTAATTGATGATCTCGACATCGATATGTATGAATATGAAAAAAAGAAAAGAAAAAAGATTTTAAGTCTTAAAAATAGTGTTGTATCTTGCAACACATTATCTGGACCATCCATTTTCATGATTTCTAAGTGTTTATAGATCTACTTGAGTTGAACCATTTGGAGTTTAAGATTTTATATTTAGAAATGAAAATAGATTCTCAAGGCATTCTAAAATTTTTTTATGCCAAAATTATATTTATAATAAAATTTGTAGGTGCGTCTTAATTTGATTCTTTAAAATGCAACACTATACGAACCGCACCTGAAAAATCGCTTGTTCAAATAGAGATGATTCTAGTGAATGTGTGAAACAATAAGGAACCCCTGAATTGCCTGATTCCTTAGTTTTTTAATTCTTTAATTTTTAATTTTTATGTATATACTGATTTTACTCAAGAATTACCGAGTTGGGCTAGGCGATCGAAAATCAGTTCCCTAGCCATTCAAGGTTTTAAAACAGTGAAGTAATTGTTAAGGGGTCGTTTGGCATGCAAATGAATTGTTACTGTTTGGATAGTATTTAGATGCAACCTGAGAAATACATTGCTCTTACTTGACACGATTTAATATAGAATTGTCTACATTACACCTTAAATTTGCTCTTACTAGAGAGCGATTAATATGGAATTGTATACAACGAAACCATTTATCTTTTGTCTGCACAATCATTCTTGTCCTTTAAATTTCAAAAAGGGTAGTTGTACTAGTGTCATTGAATAAATACAAAATGATTGTGACCTCCATTCATAAAAGATAAATGAAACATTCCTATTTAATATTGAAATGTGACATTCCTACTTAATATTGAAATGCATATGTATAGATATCACGACTATACCATGCTTGTCATGTCTCAAAGAATAATAACTTAATGGTGTTGTAAATATTGAGTGAACTATTTTAGTCACAACCTTTAAATATCGTCAATTTGTAGTTTAAATAGTAAATGGTGATGAATTTTAAACAAAATTATTGTGAAATGATAAAGTATTTTAAAAATTAGATTGAGATATTGGAAGAGGCCAATGTATAAGTAATTTATCACTTCTTTATTAATATCTAAACCCCAATCTCATAAAATCCTTTTTTTTTTTCAAAAAAGTAATCATTATAATTTAAATAAAATATAATTTATTAGAAGGGCAATCATAAGATATTTGGTTTCTATGAATGAGAAAGGAAAATGAGAGAGAGAGGGGATTTAATCAAAATGATGGGAGGAGAGAAATTGATACCATGATTTAGAAATGACATTGAATCTGGAAGAAGAGAGCAGCTTAAGAGAGAGGGGAAGTGGTAGGCTTAGTAGGTTGAGAGAGAAAAGGGGAGCTTGAGAGGGAGAAGAGGATGTACGCAGGAGAGTGGGAGAATGGTTTTTGGTTTTTTAGAGGCAGTAGAGAAAAGGGGAGCTTGAGAGGGAGAAGATGATGTACGTAGGAGAGTGGTAAAGTGGTTTCCCTACCCGCATGTAATAGATTTCATGATATTTGGGGAAATAGTGTGTAATCTATTTTCATTTTCTTACTAATAAATGTACCCAAACAGTATAAATGTACCCAAACAGTGTAAATATCATATTTTCTAATAATATATTTTATTGTAATATATTTTCAAGTACCCAAACAACCCCTAAAGGAAGTAATCCTAATCTCCTCTTTTACTTACACTACCCATATGTGACGTTAATCCTTATGACCACGTGATTACTCATAATCATCCATCCAACGATAAATAGACGTTTGATGGATATAAATGTTGCAACCTTATACTTTAGTATATAAATAAGGTGCATCTCAAAATAGGTTCCAACTTTATACTATACAAATAAGGTGCACTTTAAAAGTCCACTATACAAGAGTGGTATGAAGTTGGAAAACCTTCCAATCATCCATTTTGACCTCAAGATATATGGATATAAAGAAAGAAAAGAATTTCAAGTTTAGAAAATACTACATATTGTTGGATTGTCTATTTTCAAGATTTTCAAGGGTTTATAGATATGCTCTATTTGTACAGTTTTAGAATTCGAAATTTCATAATTGGGGTTGATCATAGATTTCCAAGCCATTCAAGGTTAAAAAATGTGTAGGTGGTCCTCATGACTAAGAGGCCCAAGTAGAAGAGGGGGATAGTTTAATATATGTTATAATATAGAGAAAATTACTAATACCCCCCCAATTTGTACTTTCTAAACACTCTACCCCCACCTTAATTTTTTCTCACTTAAATTTTATAAAATGTGACTTTTATGACTAATACCCCCCAAACCTAAAAAAAAAGAAAAAAAGACAAGTTTACCCTCCTTCCTTGTTACCCTCCTATTTTACCTTTTTTCACATCGCACTTGTTTTTACCCTACGGCTTCCTCTCTCTTAGCAGCACCTGCGGTGATCTCCCCTTTCCATCTCCTACTGTGATTTCCCATTTTCTCTCCTATATCTCCCCTCACGCCCTTCTCCTACCTGTAGTATATCCTTCATCACAGTGAAAAAATCCCTTACTTGCATTATCTCCTCCATCACGGTAAAAGAGTCCCCACTCCTCGAGGCCCACTCACTCTTTCTCACGACCTACCAAGGCCCCACTTACCACTTTCTACCTATTTTTTTCTCAATCACTCACTCAACGAAGGCCCACTCACTCCCACAAAGAACCCATTTTTTATCTCTCTCTTTCTCTACAATCCAATCTCTCTCTACAATCAAAAGCGTCACTGTCTATACGAATCTTTTCTATCCCTCTCTCTCTACAATCAAAGGCCCACAAGTATCTACAAAGGTTCCACAAAACGCATCTATCTTGAAACGAGCCCCATCACAGATCGAGCTTGATTTTTGAGGCCCAGGCATGAAAAAATATTTCAATTAAATATTTAGAAATATTTTTTATTTAATATTAATGTTGTAACTTCAAGTTTGGGGTTAAAGATAGCCACATCATTTGTATTTAATTTGTTATACCATTGAAGGAATTGATAGGTAATTCTTAAGATGTATTAATTTTTTTTAAAATTGTTATGGATATTGTCGGTGTGTCTCTATTGTCATTTTAAGGTATGAATATTATTGGTGGTACTCATTTTTGGGTTTTTTATTTTTACTGTATTTTGTCGATATTATAGATGTTGATGCATACTATTTCTTTTGTTGAAATTTAGTAGCAGTTCTTGTTTACAATAATCTTCTTTTTGCGTAGCTCTTGTTAAAATTTAATTTGTCAATAAGAATTGAAGGAATGGATTGATAATGGCTTAAGATGTATTGATTTTTGTTCTTAATTTATTATGGATATTGTCGTTGTATCTGTATTTGTCATTTTAAGATATGGATGTGATTGATGGTAATCATGTTTTCCTTATTTTTACTTTATTTTGTTGAATTTGATCATCCATCATCTTTATTTTGTTAAAATTTAGTACAAATTCTTGTTACAAAAAGCTTTCTTAAAATTTGTCGAGCTATTTTTAAAAAATAATTTGTAATGTATGGATGTCATTGATAGTAACAATTTTTAGGTTATTTTTATTGCATTTTGTTGAACTTGTAAATGATGACTCATCATCTTTCTTTTGTTAAAATTTTGTACCAATTCTTGTTACAAAAAGCTTTCTGAATAAGCATAGGGCAAGTTCAAGGCTGGTATATTGGTGGTGAAGTTCCTACAAATATTGGGAAGGACAAAAGAAAATGGGTGATAGCAGATTAGTTTATTGCATTTTTGGTGGAGAACTCCGAACAAATAGCGATGAGACTTTAGATTATATCGATGGTGATGCATTTACCTTTTTCATTGATTGTA